GTCACATTCGCAATCGATTTCAAGAACGCGGAAAGTCACATACAGAGACCATGTCATATTTATGATTACGTCCCGTTTGTTTCTTGCTCAAGAAGTACTCACAAAAAGTATTGGACTTGAAATTAACTTACACTGGTTTCATAATGTTGATTTGCTGATTTTTACCAACTATATCAAGGAGATTGTATAATCCTAAACGTCGCTTTTTGTTTCATTGAGTTTGGTTTAACAAGCCGTATATTAACGACATGGCAATTATCTGATGTCGATTTATATTTACAAAATTTATACGCATGGATAACAATGGAATTGTAGCAGGATATCTTTCGTGTTAGATGCGTAATAAGCGAGCATTTTTAATGACTGTTGTTTTCGCCTCGAAAGGCATTTTCCATACTTTGACGTCATTGAATTGAAAGTCAAATAGTCTTAGATTTATTGCGTACACACCTTTCATTTTATCCTTTCATAAACGTACTCGAATATTAGCAGAAAAATTGTTAATATGTAACGCGAAAATTATTTCTATGTTTCCATTGGGTTAATGTAAATACGAGTAATGCTGCACAGACTATGAAAAAAATCACGTTTATATAGAGGGGAAGGGAAGTATATAAAATTTATGTGTTTTTGTGCTACAAACGACAAAGTATGTCTCTTTTTTTTAATGAATTCAAAACGATTTTATAACTATTACACGGTAAAATGTGAAATTAATTCAGCTGAGAGGATATAGATGCGACTAATTAATTCATCAACGAAAAGGTTAATTGCTAATAGACATAATCGAGACACAAAATATCCAGTTGTATTCGTGTGTCTCCAACTTATTATGTCCTGATGTCATATATTTATAATAGTAATTTATAATAATATAATAATATCTTCACCCCAAGACAATTTATCACACCTTGTTTGCTGCCGAATTTTACATTTCTGGCATTTCGTCGGGTTCTGTAATCTTTATCCGAACTCACTGAACGTACTTGCCATGTTTTACTCGTGCCAGATCCTCTTTCACTACAATTGGGTTAGTTGTACGCAAGATCTGTCAAACGTACGTCCTTGGGCCACTTTTACTTAAATATATTTAAGCGATTTTTCGCGCGTATGTAATTACTACCAAATGTATACGTATACATATATATAGGTGATGATGTCGCTCGATCACTTATGGTATCTGATCGCAACTGCGCCGCATCTGTTAATTGGAAGGTTCGGGATGACCTTCGTTTGCGCTGGTGCAATGTGCAATTTGCATACCGTGAAACTGAATCCTCTTCGCCAGGTATCGATCATTTTCGACCTCTTTCCCTAAACCTGAAGAGGGCACCGTTGAGCTGAAACGGTGTGCAATTTATGTTTTATAATCAAGAAGAAATTCCGAGGATTAAATGTCTCTCGTAATCTTGAACTTCATCATAAACTACACACAAGAGGATTGCTGACATAATCAAACAAATATGAACATGCGGTAAGTTACATATTTGCATTTCAATTATTTTAAGAATAGGTACTTCTGAAGATATCCCGATAAAGGGACGAATTACTCTAGGTGGGGGGACCAAGGAGTTAACAGTTGTCGATTGTTATCCAAGAAGCCTTAGAAATAAAATCGGCGTTTGCTATTATACTTTCAAAAGTCTTGGTCTTTTGCTGAACCGGAAACGATTTACCAAAGATCGTACCAGATTAGATTAACGAAGCTATTGCCTATAATAAAATAGTCATTCCTATCCGCGGAGTTTCCATTCTAACGACCTCGATAATCCGGCTTTACAATTCCGCCTCCCAAACTGTGGAATGCGATTTGCGTAACATCGTAAGCGTGACGATTCTTCGACTCACCGATTACGCCAGATTCACATTTTATCACACGTTTCGCCTCGATTCGTTAATACGGACCTAAGATTCAGCTTCGTGCGGAACGGCGCAAACACTTCCTGAAGATGGGTCCAAAGTCGACGGAACGCAAGATTCCAAAGACAAGATAGCGAGACGTCATAAAGCTGTCATCGAGAGTTACTGACTAATCATTTTACCGAGTAATAATTTTAATTCGCTGCTCCTGAAAGAGTGGGTTTCCACTTTATCGGGTCAAAATATCGATTTTTTCTTGCACCCTCCGATAGTATGGGTCACATTTAAGAACGTACAGTGTACATTTTATGCATTACGAGCCTCAAGACGTATTTTTTCTAAGCATTTATCAGAAATAAAAATACAAACGAGTTCCTACTATCGCAATAGATCTTTCGCTTGACTTCCTCGGCAACGGGCATTCCAAACTTTTATATTAAATAGTTCTCGTTTTCCAAGTTCCACCACAACATTTATCTTCTCGACCAGCAATGTAGAGAACTTCCTCAACGATAAATAGAACTGGATGATCCAGTTTTTACCAACCTTGCGTGGATGTACGCGCTCTGCTCGACATCGGTGGCCGTGAACCGACGTAGAAGCGAAGGGAACGGCGAACAGAGATTTCCAAACAGGGGCGAAGTCAACGGTGATGTTTTATTGAAGGATAAGCTAAGGGATACCGTGTAGGAGGACTAGGGTCAAAAGCAACACAAGGATAAATTGTGACAGTGTCAGTATCAATTTGAAGATTGATTGAATCGGAAACAAATAAAGGCTAAAATTGCTTCCCTTCGTTCCTCTTCCCCCTATTCGTGAGATGACTCGTAAGCGTGTAAACTTTACACCGTAAAGGTACAAAGTAGAACTCTAACTGTACGATTATGCGAGAACGTCCTTGGGCGCGACGAAACTGAAATGTCATGCAAGCACACAGTGATTTACAAAAATTGTTAATGAAGCGAACGGTTCAAGGTTCGATAATGGAACGACCTAAGCCAATATACAATGTCGTTGCGATTGTAACGTAATCGATGTCGATCTCTATCGAACCATTTCAAACAACGGGACTAAAAAATACATGGGGCCTAACGAAATCTTGAGAAGATTTCTAATTTCGATTTTTTTATATGTACTTCTCATCAGCAAATACGGATGAATGAATGCTCTCTGACAATTTGAATGCTATTTCATGAAAACAATGAAGGTTCTAGCGTCACAGTCGAGCGTCATTCGAATGTTGAAGCAAATAACCGGCTTTGAGCTGAATGGCAAGTTTACAAGTTTGTATGGCCTCGACATCCAGGGTTCCTGTTATTCGGTGTTCTTATCTAACAAAAAAATTGAAAAAGTTTCGTGTGGCGTTTTTCAAGAGTATTCTTTCAAAGGCGACCACTGAAAGTGTAACGTAGCATTTGTATCGCTATTGGAATAGATCATCGAGACTTTTAGAAGAAGGAACAAGGTCTAGAGTCCAGGGAAACAAATGCCACTATCACCAGCGAGGATCACAACCCTGCGCTCAATTTTACTTCCATCGATGATAATCACCGGCCCATACGCCAATTAGCACATTGCAGAATGACACGGCCAAGGTAGACCACAACCGCCGTATGAAAATATACCTCTATAAAAGTCTCCCTTTCTGGTCCGTTTTCGCTGTGAGCGCAAAAAGCCGTTCTCCGGGAACCGCACATTCCTCTTCCACGTTCTGCAACCCCGCGATGCTTCTGTCTTCGTGTAATCTCATTTGTCTCGTTAGAACATCGCACACGTTTTGTTCGATAACGTAACGATTAAAGCGAACAGGGTAACGAAAACGTAAAAACTCCTTGTGACGACCACAAGGAGGCTTCACTGTTCTTTTACGTATTGGTTTTAATTTCCATTTTACTGATTGTAGATGAAAAATATTGGCAAATATTAGGCGTTTGAAATGTCATCATGTGCAAAGTGTTTGTCGCGAATATGTTAAACGAGTGGCACGTAGCGTTGTGGAATGTAAGAAAAATATCTTTAAAAAACATGCGAAACATAAAGATCTGTCGATTGACGTCCATCATCGATCAATCTAAAAAAGACATTTGTAAAATTGACCGTAAGTAATCGATCTGTTATAATTAATTCAGGTTCCAGAAATATCGATAAGCGTCTCTAATGGCTAAGCAACGTAGCGAGTGTATCGGACATTTTAAAAACTGACATTATGCATTTATGCATCTCTGCATAAATAATGCAGTATAATTACGTTTCGCGTAATCATCGGCAATGTTTATTCGCTCTTCACGTAAACAACCGATTAGAATTTTACAATTCAGGAAAACATCATTTATGGTTTTTTAACGCTACAGAATCCAACACCAACGTGAATTATAATGAATGGTACATTACCAGCGCCTCTAATTTTAGTGTAGCGTTATCGAGACACTCCCTGTTCTGAAATATATTGAAGTTAAAGTTCACGAGGTACACCCAGAAAAGTCTCCTTCGATGAACGACCACCCAATGTCGGTGGTCGAATCGCACACAATGCACGATGGTAAATTATATGAAGATCTAATGGCGCTCGGCTTGGAGTTGCATGTATGCGGGTGGCTTGCGCGTCCGTCGAATACTAATTTTCAGCGGCTGTGCACAGTGACTAGTAATGGAATGAATATTTTCGCGTGCGAGCTGTTACAGTCTCGTGATAAATTCTACGCAATACAGAATGATCCATCGAAAGCAGGTCGCCTTAATATCACGGTAAGTAAACAAAGAGTAATCGGCGTTGTCACACTTCTGTCTCGATATTACAAAAAAAATTGGTTCCAGCGTTGAATCGTATCAAGCGAGCCTAAACAATTCGAAGAACTAAGAGTCTTTTTCTCGCATCGCACTGTTGGACCTTCCAACGAAGCTTCTTTTCCAAGAACAAATTTCTCAGAGCCAGTGATTTGTTTCAATTTGATCCGTGTGTATGTTACGAGGAGAAGGATACATTATTCATGGACGTTACGGGCGAATTGTATGTGGAATATCCATTTCAGAAAATGAGCGAAAATAGATATCATCCGGAGGTACAGCACTCTCCCCTATAATCTTGAGAACGTTGCTTCGCCAGGACGAGAGGCCGTCGTGCTGACCGCAACTGCGGAAAGTACTCAAGGCTGGACGCAGTCCACCTTGCGGAACATTTTTACACGGGAGATTTCCGCGCTCAATTTAACGTTAATATCCTCAGACATGATAATCCGCGAAACACTAAATCAGCGAAAAGAATTCGTGAAATGTACACACAGTTCAACGTACAACAAACACTCTTTGTTTATGCGAAACCGTGTAGCCTCCGCAAACAGACATTTTCTTGTTTTATGTTCTCTGACCTTCCGTATCTCGTATGAATGAATCAGATCAATGTAACGCAGACACTGAACGAGCATTCGGAATAAATCATTCGTTAATAAGGTCTCGAACGAGAATATGTACGCGATTTTCTGTCTACCAGATGTGTGACTCTTGACAGCATCATCTACTAGGAGAGCGTCTTAGTCAGTCCACGCTCGATTGCATAAAAACTTGCTAAATAAATATTACTGGAAATCCTTATACGAAAGAACAGTGACATTTCTCTGATCTCTAAAAACTCCAATCCCATTTCATTGTAACCTTTAGGGCCCAAGAGATTCATCCTATCACGCAACTGAGGAATTCCAGTAACGTGGTACAAGGACGTTCGTATTTTCCACGTGGAACACTGGCATTAGATATCTCATGTCGTTAGAAAAAATTGTTAAATGACACCCCTTATTGGGGCACGGAAAGTCTCGCCCCCCAAGACAACGTAAAAATGGGCAAACGTCGAAAACGTGTAGAGAAAACACTGAAAGGACTTGTGGTCGAGCACAAGCGATCCTTTGATCTTTGCGTGGCAGCATCCACGCGAGGACGGGCGTACGCCAATGTTACCATCACCGTGAGAGGTCATTGAACGTACAACAAAACGCAATCATCGTCCACAAGGTCCCTGCTCTCGGGCATAAAAGATGGCAGTGAGTCGGCAAACGCGGAGGGAGAAGAAAGGAAGATACGCCTATGTTATTAGACGAGTTTCGAGACCTTGGAAACTTCCGTCTTTGAGTTATCCCGTCGAAGCTTCTGGTCTCCGATTAATCGCTTAAATTGGTGATGATGACGTGTGCCGCGTAGAAGTCTATAAATCCCGTATATACACGTTTCCTATGTAACCATGGCGTTATTTACGCGTTAAACGAGTTGCAGAAAATGTATGTATCGTATTGTAATGTAGTGCATAGTCGACACGAATGTTAAATGAATGCATTGTTAATTTAAGCATTGTACGCAAGAGTTACCGTGCACTTATTGGTTGAGCCACGCGCTTGAATAAAATTTTAATAAAAAAATGTCTATAATTTTGGAAACTAAATTCGAATTAAATCCTAATTTTTTCCTTGGCGAATGCTGATTCTCTTTACGTCATTATTGTAATGCAAAGCGCCGCCGTAATCGTATGAATGAATAAAAAATGCGAAAAACTCTTAACGCCGCTGAAATATTCCGCTCAAAAATTAAAACGAAATATCAATAGACTGCGTCACAATTTTTTTCGACATATCGTGTCGAGCAGGTATTACTCGGCACTTTGATTTAAGAAAATCAACAACTCAATATATAAACTGACAAAATTCGCAAACCTTACGACGAGAAGTCAATAACCCCTACACATGTTCACATTAATTTAGGAAATGTAAAACCGGAAATAACAGTCTCGAGGGCAATGAATACGAACAAAGGCCTATTAAACTGGATTTTGATTTTTTCCATAGAATGTATTGTATTGAATACATAGCCAATTGACTTTTCTAAGTAGGTGACCTCTCGTATGACTATTAATAGAGAATTACGCAACTTTGATCATGTAATATACATGGAACATGAGGAGAACACCAAAACGTTGATTTTAATATATTTCGATTTCACCGAAATCTCTGACGTCAAGTTCAAAAATGCTCTAATTGACGTAAAAAGTGATCCACACGTTGACACGTGACTCGATTCGACAAGAAAATTTGCAACCTCAAACTAAGACGTGACAGCCTACGATGTCGTTATCCGGGACAATAATTACCGGAGGATTCGTGCACCAACGCCGAATGTTCAGCTACTGTTCGAAAGGCACGTACGCGTTCATTCACAGGTTATCGAATTTACGTAATAGTCCTCATCGAAATTATCGAAATTCCATAGGCGTCGAATATCGGAAAATGTGAGCAACCTGTAAATCAACTTATCGTTCCTCTTACCGTGATACGAGTTTCTGAGATCCTTGAGGCATTCACAGCCCGTGAAATGAAATATCCGGGTTTAAGCAGTGCCCTGAAATACTTGATTCGACCAAAGCAATCGATGCCTCATCGTTTTGTTGATACGTCTTTGAATTCTTAGCGAAGCTGCAACATCGGAACGTGCGATCACAGCTTCCCCCTGAAACTCTGGAGCAGCATCCAGATTACTCTGTGTCATCGTTCCTTCTTCCTGTAAAAAGACTTTCTTAATTACTTTCTAATCTTTCTTAATGAATTTTGTTTATGAGCTGTTTGTCAAGAGCTCAGGAAATGATGGATTTGAATTCAGTTACAAGTACGTCACAACATCGTACGATTTGTATAGATCGATCGCGGAACAAAAAATTGAACGGTCTCTTATTTCTAGAATTTTCCGTGGATGCGTTAAGACAATCGTGGAATTGTAATCAAATCGAGCGAAAAATTCCTCCGTGGTACCGAAACCTTACGTTCGCATTGCTGAATCCTAATCGACGGTTAACGTTCATTATACAAGTGACGCTCGTTAGCATAAACCGATCGATGTTGTTGCTACTCGATACATTGAGTGGTGTATGAATAATTCACCGTTCACGCGTCGCGATGATCATTTACCTAGTCTCGGTACACATTGAATTCTATGTCACGAACGACGAATTCCACAATTCATACGATGAAAACATTGCTGGACAAACACTTGCATCGACTTATTATTGAATGAGAAGCGCAGTTCGGCGCTAGTATGGTCGCCGGTTGATCGACGTTTATGAAACCATTCAGATCTATGTATCTTACAAGAAGCACGAAATATTGCGAGGAATGTTATAACGATGCTATATGATAATTAAATCGTGGCATTAATTAATTTTTTACGAAAGACTCAACCTTCAACCGCCTGTTACTAATTTATACGCAAGACAAACGTACACTTGACACGAAATAATGTAAATCTAGCCCACCTCCATTTGAATATACGTATGTACTTGTTTATTCGTTTCGTTTTAACCATCTTTTAATATCCGACATGTTTGTAAAATATGGAAAAACAGCCAATACAATTTTTTGTACAATCGATTTAGTGGAGTACAAAAAGAAAAACAGTACAATTTTTACCTGAAACAAATTAATATTTGACCTAAGCTACATTATAGAAAAAAAAGAGGATGCACATATTACGTCTTCTGTCGTCGATAAGTACCAAGCATGACGCAACTCTGATGAAATTTAGTGTCCATATCTCTCACGATCGTGTACCGGTTATTGTAATACGATGCATGCTGCCAAACAAGTAGTTTGTCAAAGTAAAAATAACTTACAATTGTTGCTTTCAATTAAACGATTAGCACGTTTCGCTGCCCATAATAATGCATGAGGGCACAGGTGTAGCGAATAAAAGTCTGAATAAACATTGAATATACGATTCGAGAAGGTTTATAATTCATACTCGTACACTTGAAGAAAAGCTACGTTACGTTGTCGTGCGAATATTTATGAAGGGTGCTGTATGTGTTTCTTCATTCGTTACAGGGCCCTACTTATTCGGTTGCATACATTTTATCAAACATTGTAATTTGTCGCTGGGACGATCAATTCTCTACCATCAACCGTGCTTCTGTTCACTGAATCCCTTCCATCGAATATACTTGGCTGGAACGAGAGGAGCGAGTACAACTCGTTCTCAAGAAGACAATCACGCCTAGAGATCCCTAGCGAAGACCACAAAAGATTGTTCTAAACACAACGAGAGTTGACTAGAAACGTAAACAATGAAAGAGGTCTCTGAGGCTTTGTTTACATTCAATTTCACCCCATCGACTTCATTCATATTTCACTCACTTCAACACTAAATTCAATGTTAAATACTATGTGAACTTCAGTTTGGATACAATGCAGTAATGAGGATGAAAATTATAAATATGAATATTAATGAGCGAACTTAGAGACTTTCGGATATGACTTCGTAAATTGTAATCAGAAATTTAGATAAATATTCAATTGGAATTTACATTTCGGTAACTCCGAGTTTGCTTTCCGTCGATTAAATTAATTTTGAAATTTTTACAAATCCTAACGGCAAGAAAAAACCCTCCCGTTTCGCTTCTTCCCGAGCCCGGTAGTCCGCAGCTTACCGATTAATCTTACCGTATCGAGAATCTTTTCTGATAAGGAAGCATGCTAGTCCAAATACGGTGTTCACGTACACTGCACGTTATAGATATCCATCACTTGGCTACTGGCTTTCGGCACGAGTGCGTTAACGTCGGGGGTTCCAAGGGGTTTCCGAAGAGATCGACTAAGAACAGGTGTTAACGCGTAAACTCGACTGAAATTCCCGGTCGCACGGAACGAAAGATTGTGTCACGTTTGGTCCTTTTTGACGAGTGGACAACGAATTCCTGTGCGATGGCGGTCACCGATCGAACGCTTCGACGAAGCTACGCGAACAACGTCTGCTAACGACCCTTGGACGATGGAGAACAATTGGTTCCAACGTAGCTTAGGTGGGGTACGGTTGTTGGGCCCCACGACGCCGGACGGGTAACGTGCAGGTACAGGTGTCACGAGCTTATGCCGATATAAAACACGGTTTTCATGCTTGGGCCTTCAGTTTCCTCGAAGGTGGTCAAGCACGAAGGTGCTCAGCTCGGCGTTGGATACTTGGACCGATCTCGTCGTAGTGGTGATCGCGCGTCTTGCTGCAACCGGATTGATTACAATTTCGAAGAGAACCAGTTTGAAAAGAATACTTCGGAGTGCCCTTCGAATTCACGGTGAGTAGACGTTTTCGTGCACGAATCCTTCGAATCCTTTTCATTGTGCAGTGATCAATATTTAGATTTTTTTTTCTTTTCATTTGTTTTGTTTTTTTTTTTTAACTATGTTTTCACAATGGAACCGTTGGATAAAATACACTTTTGAATTTGAACATCTATTTTAGAGGGTTAGTATTTTATTTATTTTATGTTTTACTGTAGTATAAGTTGCACTTTGTTTATCAAAATAACTCGAGACAATCGGAAACATCCTGAGATATACTTTTTTGTATGCGTATTAGGGCTACTTTGCAACTGATATAAAAATAAAATTAATTTGAAGATCCGCGCGCGTGGTACTTGGCAGAGGAAGAACGATTTTAGTCCAAGGTTGAAAGCGAAGTAATTGATGGCGCTGAACCCATAATCTTTCTACTATGGTTACTTCGATAGGTAGCCACATTTACGATATCCAACCTCGAACAATTCTATTCTATTCAAGAGGGATGAAGCCTTATTCGATGTTGAATCACCTTTCCTTGTATTATATGCTTTGTTCTCTTTCTCATTAGCATACGTGCGGTCGATATACGAAATAAAATAAAGAATAATGAAACCCTTGGGAATGAATAGACTTTTCCAGAACCATACTAAATTTACGATAAAATAAAAAATAAATGGAATAATATTTTTGCTTGAAACAGAGAAGAATAACCAGAAATAAATAATTTTCTGTCGATTAAAAATAATTATGACCGACGTAAAGATACGCTAATTGCCCATTGTCATTCAATTTTGATTGTTCTTCGATATACACTCGCGACGAAAGTCTCTTAATTCAGAAAAAAGGAATAACGTTTGTTTTCTTCGTTGCACATATTTCCGAGAATTAATTGTCTAGGCTGAATCAATGCGTTTTTTAATCGGTGTTCCCAGTACAGACATTATATACTTGTTTCTTATTAGTGTACAATAACAGCTCGGAAAAAACTGATTGGGATTAATTAACTGTATGACTAATGTGATTAAGTTGTCTAAATCTATAAAGGTAAAAATTAAATGTAACGTAAACAGGACTTGCCTTCTGCGCTTTTGAAAATTGCACTTTTCATTTTTCTCGAAATGTTTTTTTTCTTCTGAGCAAACGTAAACCGTGCATAAGAAATTTCTGAATTTAGCTAATCAAATTTAAACGCAACGCGTGACTCTCGAGGAAAAGAATTAGCATGATAATATTAGCGCTCGTTCACTTCTTTTTCTATTCGACGAGCAAAGGATATTAAATAATGGAAAAGTTTGGCTATATAATTTCAACTGCGGTAGCGAGAATCGATCACGCATCTATGGTTTGAAGGGTTTACCATCGCCACAATAAAAGTTGTTTAAATATCACTAGAGACTACACGTATCCAACTTCAATTTAGCTCGAAAACTCAAATAAGAAAAGTATTGCAATTATGTCCAAAACAGTTTCCTAAGGCCAGGAAGAAACAAGGTTCATCGCACGAAGAGCTCACGGTCCGTAAGACAATATTTAACGCAAACAACGATAATTACAGCTCGCGCGCGTTGCGCAAAATTATAATTACCGCTAAAAGTGCCGGTGATTGTTGTCATAATCAAGGCAAAGCCTTCTCGCGTGATCGTTAATAGCTATAATTATTGTCATCACCTGTCTCTCGAGTGAAAACTCTCGGATGAAAATTCCCTCGATATAATAGTTCGCAATTCGCGATTGTCGTGACTTATCGCGTTTGTCATTTACGCGCGTTTTGCTTTCGACTGCTGAAATCAACCGAGCCATTCCAAATTTTTCAACAAATCCTCCTGCGACGTGACTCTCGATAATTTGTTACTCGCTAATCAGTTTCGTTTCAATTGTTTACAGTACTTTTTCGTTCGCGATTATGAAAGCAGGCTGAGATTACTTCCAAAGAATTCTTGCATATAATGCTCGATCACTTTACGTTGCATTTCGGACCTACGTATTTAAAGCGTTAAGGTCCAGACCAACCGAACCTTCGTTTTCTCTCTGGCACGGTTCCCGAAACATGTGTTTTACTTTCCTTCGCAAGAAAGCAGTTCACGGTCGCGCTTCTCGCGACAGTGGTCCACCCGAACTTGGCCATCGCCAGAAATGCAGTTCTCCCATTTGTAATCGCAGTCACGAGCCTCCGTAATTTTCTCATCAGAAACGAGCATATATGTTGATTAATGCAATTGTCCTTCTCAAATGTGAGTCGCAATTGCGACGTGCTTCTCAGCAAAAAAAAAAAAAAAACAGGAAGATCCATGATCGACGCCTAGTCGAACGCACGATCAAGGTACAAGTTTGTCTACGCGAGGTACCGATCGTGGGGTCAGTGAGTGGCTTTCGGTATTCGCGGCCTTCAAACAAAAGTCGGTCGGAACATAAACATTGATAATTGTGTCAATTACATAATTTCAGACACCGAATGACTCTACTGTTACACTTGGAAAAAACTGCGTACATGAAAATAAAAACGTGGAAGAAAATTTAACGTAAAATCTCGACGAAGGATACGTTTTCAAAGGAATGAAATTAAAATCCGTTTGGAATATCAATAAAATTGATGTTTCATTAATTTGTTTCTCAAAAATTCCCTACGTTCTAATTTGTTCTCGATCAACTTTACGCTTGGTGAACCATAAAAACATAGCGATCATGGAACAAACTCTGCTCTAATCGGAAGCCAGTTCCCGAGTTTCGCGAGCAGCAAAGCGATAATCGCATTACGCTCGCGAGTCTCGTAATAAAAGCACGGTATACTTTCATTAGTAGATAAACATATCAGAAGGATGCGCCTGACCGGACAGCAAATGACGCTTAAGAAGGGAATCGGCCGACGAGAGAGCAGCGGTTCCAATTGCATCACGCGACGCTACATGTCCCACAGCTTTACATTGCAAATCCTTTTAAGTTGCCTGTTTCGCGCTCGCGTCTCTGGCTATTGTCCCTTTTGCGGTGATTCGAATGCGCGCATCACGCGCTTCGGGGAAATGGGATAATAAAAATGTCGACTTAGGATAATATAGGAATCGTTTCCTTGCGACAAACAGTTTCCTTCCTTGACAGTAATTGCAAGGAACAAGAAGGATTCCAAATGGATTGAAAGGGTTCCCTCCTGCGATAGAACTTCATTATTTAGTCCCGTGGCCACCGCGAACATGATCATTTTATAAATCTCGCGAACGTGCTTTCACTGGAGGGGAAGTCATATTTTAGATGTCCGTAGCGTTTATTGTTTGCTAATTTTTTAAATCGACATAAAGTAAAAAGTGTTCGAATAAATTATATAATTTCCGAGTAGAGAAACAAAGAAAATTGCGAAGATCAGTGGAATGTTTCTCCGAAAAGTTTCCCTGTTGATCTTTGGTCTCATCGACGCACCTTTGAGATCGCTTTCTTTAACGATTTCCTTCCGGCTGTCTGTTTCTTCCTGCGCGCTTTACATCGTCCAATCGACTCGTGTTCCTTCTTCGCGCCCAGTCGTTTAATTTTTACATCGTTATTATTTACTACAGTTCGCTTGACCTCAAATTTGTCGAACGTTTTATCGATTTACATTAGACAGAATTATTCAGGAAAGGAGCACGTATATATTGAACGCACATTGCATTGAATGCACTTCCTTCTGGAATTTTTATTTTCGCGTACAAATAGGGTGACATTCTGGACCACAGCGCGGTCATTCGATGACCGCATCGCATCGGGACTCGCGTGGACCATTAATTTTCATTGGACATGGACAGATTAGCGAGAAAAACAGTGTCGAGGTGAACAGTACACAAGCATGTTTCGCTCCTAATGATCTTGAGTCACGTGATACGGGGTTGCGCCGAAGGATTGCGAAACAAAGAATGAACGCAGCACGGTTCGGACCGATATTAATTGAGAAATTCCGAAGCTATCGATAAATTTCTATTCCGGTCAGCGACGACGTAGTTCTGGAATGGGCGAGCGGATTTGCGAAATCAAATCGCAAATTTGAGCCACGCCGGGGCGCTTGTGAAACATAGAATAAACACGTTCCATTGGACGTTAAGTCACAATCGACGATGCGGTTGAAAAATTGTTATTCCGGTCGCTGTTGACGAGTTATGGGAGGACGAGCAGCTGGACTCGTTAAACTTAATCGTGATTTTTAGGATCAATAGACGATTAGGAAACAAAAAACGATGTCTACGTACGGTGCATACTTATGCAATAGACTTGTTCCATCGACGAGTAGTCTCTTTGATCTATTTATTGATTGTATCGAAAGAAGCAAGGCGAACTCTATTACTTCGCCTCTAGTACTCTAATTACTTCGATGTTAACGCTCCGCTATTGTCGCATTGGTACACATGAATCTGATGCAATGTAACTCCTCTACTGAAAAAAGAGTGCAGTTACGTTATTCAATTGTACCGATACACAGAAGCGAATAAAAGTAAGATAGGAATGTGCAGCGTTTATAGGCATTTAATTTCTGCTTACGTCAGTGTCGAAGACATAGCTCGTGCGGGCACGCTTCGGATAGCACGCGTGGAAGTTGATAGGAAATCGACGCCACTGCTGAGTTCGCTTTAATAAATAGCCTAGTAAGGTTGACGGAGTTCGCCATTGTCGGAGCAACTGGTTTCGCGAGGACAACCGAGGAATGT